GGAATTAATAAATATCAAATACAGCAGCCAGACCCTTTTTAATATTGCAAATAATGTGATGAATTTGGGAGTTACTCTCTGAAAGTGAAGCCAGGGCTCTCACACCAACAGTGGTGTGGGACATTGTTTCTGAGCCTTCAAACAGAAAATAATGTGGGCTCCCATGAAGGAAGTGATTAATGACTGAAAATTCTGAGCTTTACACTGCAGTGTTTTGTCCATTTTAGTATGAAAATACATCTGTGAAAGGGAGGAGGGGAGAATAATTTTGTATAATTAAAACCAAATGAATTTTTTGCAGTTGTGGCAGCAGCAGTTTCTCCATCCTTGCCATGGGGAAAAATCCATTTCCTGGTGGCAGGAGGGAAAAATCCACTACTAAGGGCATGGCTGGGGGTGCTGTGCCAGGAAACCCCAGGGAAAATGGGATTTCTCTGGCTTGGATGGACTGGCAGCTGCTGAGGGTGGAACCCACAGAGATTAAAGTTTGTGTGGCATCGGCTGCAGGGAAAATTGCATTCCAAATCCTGCTGAGGAACAAACACTTTTGCTCTTAATTACTGATATTGGGCTGGTTCTCTGTCTGGAGAGGTTTGGATGGAGGGGTTAATCCCTGGTTATCTGCAGGCAGATTTCCTGGGGCATCCCAAGGCAGGTGGGATCATGGGCCAGCCCAGCAGCTGGAGCTGCCCAGTGTCCCTGTGCCCTGTGCTGTGTCCCCTGTCCCACCACAGCAATCTGAGCCCCCTGGCCAGTGAGCAGCCCCTGGGGGCTCTGTGCTGCAGGGGCAGGGGGCAGGTGAATGATGCTGATTGCTCAGGAGCAGAATGGAGGAGCAGCTTGGAGCTACAGCCAACATGAGAAAGTGAATTCTGAACCCAAAAGCAAAAGGATCAACAACGTAAATGAGTTTAAACTGAAGGGAGGCAGGGTTAGACTGGAGATTAGGGGCAGATCCTTCCCTGGCAGGGTGGGCAGCCCTGGCACAGGTGCCCAGAGCAGCTGGGGCTGCCCCTGCATCCCTGGAATGCCCAAGGCCAGGCTGGACACTGGGACACCCTGGGACAGAGGGAGGTGTCCCTGCCATGGCAGGGCTGGGAATGGCTGGGATTTATTTGAAGTCCATTCCCACCCAAGCCATTCTGGGATTCTGAGATTTTTCTCCTCTCAAGCACTGCCCAACACCTTCCAGCTGCAGCCCAGGCCCCTTGGACACAGGATATCCCCTATCCCTGGGGTTTCTGGAGCAAGACCAGGCTGGGGAGCATTCCAGGCAATTCCAGGCAGTTCCTGTCCTTCAGGGCAGCCAGGTGGGATCCCAGCCCGTGGAGGCTCCTGGAGCAGAGCCCCTGTGCAGTTTTAATTAAGCAAGTGCAAGAGCTGTTTTTTTACAAAGATTAATGGATCTCTGTTTTAATTATGGTGGAATAATAGACTAGAGAGCTGGGAAAGTGGCAGGCATTAAAAAAAGAGGATTAAAAACTTGAGGGAAGCTGGGTGAGACTATATTTTTCCGTACTTACAAATTACAGAAGATCATCCCCATTAATAATGATTGGAAAAATAATAAAGTGCCCTCAGCCTTGTATGACAGTTAACATTAAAATCTATTTTTTATGCTTGTTGTGTGGGGAATTTCTGATTATAATCATCAGTTAAAAAAGAAACTGTGCTTTTTTCCAATCTTCCAAATTTAAATACAGAAGAAACCTCTGCTGAGTTCAGCTATGGTTTCATCAATACTTTTCCAAGCCGTGGCAAGGTAAAAAGAGCAAAAATCACTTTTATTTAATGTCTGTTATGCTTACTTTAGTTGTGCTGCAGCGTTATCATTAATTGCTAAAAATAATTGGTTCTATGCATAGATTGTGCAAATTACATTGCAGGAAATGCTGCTGGGGTGTGCTGGGAGTTTTAATAGGAGCAGAATTTAGGGAAAGAGAGGAAAAGAGAGAAAAGGAGAAGAGAGGAAAGGGAAAAGCAAGGGAAGGCCTCTGATGTTTGCAGGTTTTACTGTTGGTCATCCTTTTAATGAATGATTTCCCAGAGATTGCTGTAGGAAGGGTTTCATTGCTATTCCTTCATTGCTCCTCGTGCTCTGCTGGAATCCCTGCCCTGCCCTGGGCAGGAGAAGCACAGTGGCACACAAACCCTTTGTGGAAAAGCTGCTCTTCCTCAGGAAATTGTGAAGGTTTGGGGGCAAAGGAAAGCCTTTCCTCAAACAGTAAAAAACCCTGCATTTCCCTTATTTCTGCTCCCCCTGTGTCCTGCAGGAGAGCCCTGGGCAATGACAGGGACTCCAGGCCTGGGAGGGGATTTACAAACAGCCAGGGATTAAATCCCTTAGCTTGGAAAACATTTCAGAGATGAATCATTTGATTGCTGCTTCCGTGGGGTAAAAATAAAAATGCACTTTATCCATCACATCCCACGTGGGTGCTGGGGAAGCACAGGATACTGGCTGCTGCTGGGGCTGAAAACCACCCTGCTGAGAGCTCAGCAAAACTGGGCAGCAGCTCTGAGCCACAGAGCTGGGGGTGCTCCAGGAGCCCCTCTGGGGGTGTCCCAGGGTGGGTGCCCTTGGGAAGGACCTCCAAGCCCAACCCATCCCACCCTGTGATGGGTCCCAGGATGAGGGAAGAGAGGAGGATCTGACTCCGTGGTTCAGAAGGCTGATTTATTATTTTATGATATATATTACATTAAAACTATACTAAAAGAATAGAAAAAGGATTTCATCAGAAGGCTGGCTAAGAATAGAAAAAGAAGGAATGAATAACAAAGGTTTGTGGTTTTTCAGAGACTCCAAGCCAGCTGGGCTGTGACTGGCCATGAATTAGAAACAACCACATGAGCCCAATCCCAGACCCACCTGTGGCATCCCACAGCAGCAGATAACCATTGTTCGCATTTTGTTCCTGAGGCCTCTCAGGAGGGAAAATCCTCAGGAAAGGATTTTCCATAAAAGATGTCCTGGACACCACCCTGAGATCCTGGAGGTCTTTTCCAGCCCCAGTGATTCTGTGAATTCTTTTCTGATTTTTTTTCTTTTTTCTGGCGAGCCACACAGAGAGCAGGGAGTTGGTGGAGCTGGGTTTTTGTGCTGGGAGAGGAGGAGGAGGAGGAGGAGGAGGCCGCCTTTCTCTCCTCGGGGGAGAATTCACAGTGCTGAGGCTTCCCTCCAAGGTTTGGACGTGTGAGCGTGAATAAACAGTGGGAGAGTGAAATTCATGAAGTGGTAAATGCTCACTGAACCACAGGCTACCTGCAAAACTGCTGATTTGTAATTCCTGGGGTCCCAGGGCGGTTTGGGGTGGGAAGGGCCTTAAACCTGCAGTCACTGCAGCCCAGCCCTGGGCAGGGACAGCTCCCTGAGCCCGGCTGCTCGGCTCTGCTGCATGGACTGCACCCAGCTGCTGCAGAAAGCCACTGGGAATGGAACACGTGCTAGAAAAGCCTCTGTGAATTGGAGCTGTCTCTGCCTCTCCCACCCTGCTGTTCATTAGAATCGAGTTCAAAACGTTCTCAGGACTTTGAAAGAGGCTCCTTGCCTTCCCTGGATGGGACCAGACCCTACACAGCTCCTCCTGCAGGGATGCCAACCTCAAAGTGCCGCTTCCCGGTGACATCCCAATTCTCTGCTCTATAAATGGGGATATTTTATCCCTCAGAACCCTTTCAGATTTAATGTTGAGATCATTAATTAAATGAATGGTTCTTCTCTTGCTTTGTTTCTGAACCATTTCAGCCTGATGTTTCCAGTTCCTTATTCCTGAATGGAATGTCATTTTCCACTTAAACAATAGTGCCAGATGCTTAAGGCACCAAATCACCATTTTCCCCCTCCAGTTTCTATGGTTGTGCTATTTTAATGTTTCATCAAAGGGATGAGCTCTATTGCATTCCCCTCTTCTCTTGGATTTCCTTCATGTAGAAAGCTCTTTATGAAATAAAAATGTCCCATTAGTCTGTTGCACTTTGTATTATCCTCCTTCCTACCTTCCTCCAGCTTTTAAAACTGTTTCAAAGCCTTAAATTCCAAGGTGGGCATGGGGGGTGAGTCTAAAATTTGCCTAATTCGTTCTCCACGTTTCCTGAAGAGTTGTTAATTTGTGGAGAGGAATGCAGATTTCCCGGTGCCACAGCATCACTGCCCGATGGCTGCTGGCTTTGCAGCTCCCTGCTCTCAGCCCTGTGCAGCTTTTCCTGGGCCCCTTATTCCTCCAGCTGCTCTGCCTTTTCCCACCTGCTGGCTCTGCAAAATGGAGCACGGTGCTCTTGAGCCAGGCTTAGACATCCTCCACCTCTCAGGCAGGCTCAGGCTCCTCCAGCAGCTTGTGCAATAAAGCTGCTCCTAAATCTCCTCCCTGTCCTGGGCCCCCCTCACTGCAGCCCCTGAGGGAGAGGAGCTCCTGGGATGGGATAGGATAATGGGGTGGGGTAATGGGATGGGATAATGGGATGGGATAATGTGATAATGGGATGGGATAATGGGGTAATGAGATGGGCTGCCAGGTCCCTTCCCACACAAACCACTGGGGGGTTCTGGGGTTCTGTGACCCCTCTGAAAAGAAGCTGGTTTGGGTCCTGTGATGTCCAGATAGTTTTTCCTGGAAAAGGGTCTCAGCTCCTGAGCTCAGCAGCACAAGGGGGCTGTGTCTCAGGAACAGGGCAGGAATTTTCCATGGAGCACGCATTGCTGCTGATCCTGAGGGCTGAGGCTGCAGGAGAAAGGGCTGGGCCGGCCCAGGCAGGAATAATAACTGGAGCTTTCCTCCAGTGCTCCAGCAGCAGACCAGGGCAGACAGATACACCTGTGGGCACCGTGTGTGTCTGTGAGCTGGGCTGTGGGCTGTGGATGGCTCTGAGTTTGTCAAGCCATTCCTGGTGTGGTGTGAGCTCAGCTCTGATCAATCCACGCTGTGCTCAGCCCCAACACAGCAGCGAGCGGCGCTGAGCAGCTCCCCCAGCCCCGTGCTCAGGGTTCCCCTTCTCCCCAGGTGCTACCTGGAAGACGGAGCCTCCAAGGGGGCCTGGCTGAACCGCTCCAGCATCATCTTCGCGGGCAGCGACAAGTGGTCGGTGGATCCGCGCGTGTCCATCGCCACGGCCAACCGCCGGGAGTACAGCCTGCAGATCCAGGACGTGGATGTGACAGACGATGGCCCCTACACCTGCTCTGTGCAGACCCAGCACACGCCCAGGACCATGCAGGTGCACCTCACCGTGCAAGGTAGGCCGGCGCAGCCCTGGCTTTGCGCTTCTTGGGGGGTTTTTGGTAGTTTTTTGGGGGTTTTGTTGTTTTGGGGTTTTTTTTTCAGAAGGTTAATTAATTACTTTATTATACTGTACTATTCTATATTATATTACACTGTATTACATTACATCTAAGCTGAATCTGCCAAGCACTCAACTCTGCACACAACTGCACAGCATCTCGTGACTGTCAGTCCCAACTCAGTCCCAACTCACTCACACCTGGCTCTGACAGGCCAAGGAAACAAAACACCATCACTCTGAGTGAACAATCTCCACGTTGCATTCTACTTTTGTCAAACACAGGCACAGAAAATCGTAAGAATTGTGTTTTCTTTCTCTGAGGTTCAGAGAATGTGAAACCCAGAAATATTCTTGGGAAGAATTGTGCCCTGCTTTTCTCTGTGAAGAGAAACGTGGTGACATGGCACGGCAAACTGCAACCCCTTCAGAGTCCCTTTCCCTTTCCCTTTCCTTTCCTTTCTCCTCTGGTGTCAGTTTTCACATGGATTTAATATTTATTGTATTGTTCCAGGGTGAACAATTCTTGGTTTTGATTGTCTTCCTAATAATTAATGCCCCCATGCAAGGGCTAAAAAAACAAGTTGGAAATTAATTGCGTGTATAAAATACATCAACAGGAGCTTAAAATTAATTAGGCTAACCACGAGCATATAGAGAAATAATAACTCAATAGTTAAAAATATGCATAATTATTAAGCAATTGCATTTATATCTTCAGAAATGCAAAGTATAACCTAAGGCTTTAACTTATTAGTCTTTGGTGCAATCATCATTAACATTTTCTTTTGCATTTTTATGAGTAATAAAGCAATGAATACAGAGGAGAAGAATTGAACTGGCAATCCTTATTAATCCATGTGGCACGTGGAAATCCCTCAGAAATAGCAGAGTGAGCCACCTCCCACACCAGCTGTCCTTAGCCATGGGAATCCTGCAGGAATGCTGCGGGAATGTTGGGCTGGAGCTCTGAGCTCAGTGTGTGTGTTTTATTAAAATATTGTGGAGTCATTTCTGTGACCCTGGTGAGAGGCCTCAGGACCCTCAGGCTCGGTTTGGGGCACGTGCAGGGACACAGGGACAGGGGCAGGAGCAGAGGGAACGGCCCCAGGCTGGGCCAGGGCAGCTCAGGGTGGGCACAGCAGGAATTTCCCCATGGAAAGGGGCTCAGGCACTGCCCAGAGAGGGTTGGAGTGCCCATCCCTGCAGGTGTCACCTGGAGGTGGCACTCAGAGCTCTGAGCAGGTCTCAAGCTGGGGATCAGTGCTCTGGGAGGGCTGGTGCTGTGCCCCTCAGTGCCTGCCTTTGTGCAGGGACTCCCTGACACACATCTGTCATCCCAGTGGGACCCTGAGGTGCTGGGAGGGGCTGGGATGGCCCCTCCTGCTCCAGAGGGTTAAATCCTGGGATCACACAAGGAGCTGTCAGGGGGTGACACGGGGAGCTGTCGTGTGATCACACAGGGGTTATCCTGGGATCACACAGGAGTTATCCTGGGATCATACAAGGAGTTATCCTGTGATCACACACTGAGTTATCCTGGGGTGAACAAGGAGTTATCCTGGGATGAACAAGGAGGTATCTTGGGATGAACAAGGAGTTATCCTGTGATCACACAGGAGTTATCCCGGGATCATACAAGGAGTTATCCTGGGATCACACAGTGAGTTATCCCGGGATCACACAGTGAGTTATCCCGGGATCACACAGGGAGTTATCCCAGGATCACACAGGAATTATCCCAGGATCACACAGGAGTTATCCTGTGATCACACAGGAGTTATCCCGGGATCATACAAGGAGTTATCCTGGGATCACACAGTGAGTTATCCTGGGATCACACAGGAGTTATCCCAGGATCACACAGGAATTATCCCAGGATCACACAGGATTTATCCCAGGATCACACAAGGAGTTATCCTGGGATCACACAGGGAGTTAAACCCAGGATCACACAGGGAGTTATCCCGGGATCACACAGGGAGTTAAACCCAGGATCACACAGGATTTATCCCAGGATCACACAGTGAGTTAAACCCAGGATCACACAGGAGTTATCCCAGGACCACACAGGGAGTTATCCTGGGAGCACCTTTAGGATTCCCTGTAAGTTCTTCCCCAGCTTGGTATCTGGAGATTAGGAACAGCCTCTGCTTGGGGCAGAAATGAGTGAGGGCAAAGCAAAACCTCTCTGTGTGAGGGCATTTGGCTTCCCCTGGCGTTGGGAATAAATGATGGGACCTGAGGAATCCCAGGAGAACAGGAATGCTGGGCAGCAGAGCCCCAGCCCTTCCCAAGCCCTGGGGCTGTGTTCCAGGAGCAGAAAACCTCTGCAGCTGCAGGAGCCAGGGGTTTGCTCTGCCCCAGAGGAAACCAGGGAAGGCTCAGGGACATCTAAAGCCCCCAGACAACTTCACACTCCAGGCACAAAAGGATCTGCAGTGAAGCTGCCCCCCAAAAGCTGTGCAACCCCAGCTCCCCCCAAAGGCTGTGCAACCCCAGCTCCCCCAAAAGCTGTGCAACCCCAGCTCCCCCAAAAGCTGTGCAACCCCAGCTCTTCCCAAAAGCTGTGCAACCCCAGCTCCCCCAAATGCTGTGCAACCCCAGCTCCCCCAAAAGCTGTGCAAACCCAGCTCCCCCCAAAAGCTGTGCAAACCCAGCTCCCCCCAAGGCTGTGCAACCCCAGCTCCCCCCAAAGGCTGTGCAACCCCAGCTCCCCCAAATGCTGTGCAACCCCAGCTCCCCCCAAACGCTGTGCAACCCCAGCTCCCCCAAACGCTGTGCAACCCCAGCTCTTCCCAAAAGCTGTGCAACCCCAGCTCCCCCAAAGGCTGTGCAACCCCAGCTCTTCCCAAAAGCTGTGCAACCCCAGCTCCCCCAAACGCTGTGCAAACCCAGCTCCTGCTTTCCCTGGAGCGTGTGAGCCTTGCACACACACAGATCCAGAGCTGGCTGTGGCACACCTCCTCTCTGCTGCTGGGGCTGGCAGTGTTCAGGGAGGAAATAAACACATTTTATGGGTTAAAGCCACCTTAATTCCCAGTGCAGGGAGCAGGGTCAGCTCCCCAGGTGTGACCGTGCTCACAGGGGTCCCAGGATGAGGGAAGAGACCAGGATCTGACTCCGTGTTTCACAAGGCTGATTTATTATTTTATGATATCTATTACATTAAAACTATACTAAAAGAATAGAAGAAAGGATTTCATCAGAAGGCTGGCTAAGAATAGAATAAGAAAGAATGATAACAAAGGTTTGTGGCTTGGACAGAGAGCCCGAGCCAGCTGGGCTGTGATTGGCCATTAATCAGAAACAACCACATGAGCCCAATCCCAGACCCACCTGTTGCATTCCACAGCAGCAGATAACCATTGTTTGCATTTTGTTCCTGAGGCCTCTCAGCTTCTCAGGAGGGAAATTCCTCAGGAAAGGATTTTCCATAGAAGATGTCTGTGACACCCAGGGGAGCAGCAGCTTCTGCCCTGCCCCACTCAGGAACCCCCAGACCCAGGGGCTTTGGCCACTGCCCACAGGGATCTCTGCAGAGCTGAGGTTGGGTTTGGGCTCCCAAATCCCTGTGCCAAAGCCAGCACAGCACTTGAGGGACACCAGCAGGTACAGGCTTGGTCAGTGTTACTCACTGCAGTTACCCCCTTTTGTAGCAGGCAAATTAACTGAGGTTTTTGATAAAACAGAAAAGAGAACTTGTGTCTTCAGCCCACATTTACATCTGTGAAGGAAGAAACACATGAAAGAGGAGATAATCCAGTTAACTTAATTTCAGTGACCTTATTAAAAAGAAGTGAGAATTCTGAAATAATTAATTGAAAGTTTTGATGGCAGCAGTTTGTAATCAGCTCAATGTACCTCAGTGCCAGATGCTGGATCTGCAAAGCCATGAGCTGCGGATGATTTAAAAACCAGATGTTTGTCACAGAGAGGTAAGATCCCGAATTTCCCCTCACCACACTCTGCTGCTCCCAGAGAATTTTCCTCCAAAAGGTTATGCTTTCTGCCAATTGCACTCTGACATTTATTCTGCCAAAATCGGAATTGCCTCCTCCGAGCTGCTTTCCCTGCAGTGTGCAAAGGGCTGCAGCCACCCTTGGCAGGGTCCCTGAGAGGGGCTGGGGGACAGCCCCAGTGTCCCTGTCCCTTGGGGGTGACAGAAACAGGGGTGACAGATGCAGGGGTGACAGACACAGGGGTGACAGACACAGGGGTGACAGAAACAGGGGTGACAGACACAGGGGTGACAGACACAGGGGTGACAGACACAGGGGTGACAAAAACAGGGGTGACAGATGCAGGGGTGACAGACACAGGGATGACAGACACAGGGGTGACAGACACAGGGGTGACAGACACAGGGGTGACAGACGCAGGGGTGACAGACGCAGGGGTGATAGATACAGGGGTGACAGACCCAGGGGTGACAGACCCAGGGGTGACAGACACAGGGGTGACAGAAACAGGGGTGACAGACACAGGGGTGACAGACACAGGGGTGACAGAAACAGGGGTGACAGACGCAGGGGTGATAGATACAGGGGTGACAGACCCAGGGGTGACAGACCCAGGGGTGACAGACACAGGGGTGACAGAAACAGGGGTGACAGATACAGGGGTGACAGACACAGGGGTGACAGACGCAGGGGTGACAGACACAGGGGTGACAGACACAGGGATGACAGACCCAGGGGTGACAGATGCTCCTGCACTGGGGCCAGGGGGGTTTGGGACAGCAGGGACACAGAGCAGGGCTCAGAGGGACCCCAACCCCAAACAGGGACCCCAGCCCCAGCAGGGACACAGAGCAAAGGATCAGAGAGACCCCAACCCCAAACAGGGACACAGAGCAGGGCTCAGAGGGACCCCAGCCCCAGCAGGGACCCCAGCCCCAAACAGGGACACAGAGCAGGGCTCAGAGGGACCCCAGCCCCAAACAGGGACACAGAG